CCGGAACGTGGCCAGGTGCTGGACCTATGAGACTGCCGTGGCTTTGGACACCGAAATTCCCAATGGTAAATCCTCCCCTGCAGCCTTTGAACAAGGCTGAGGGCTAGTGGCGCTCTGGAACAGCTCAGGGAAGAGGTGTTGCTGGGGGAGGAGAGGCAGGAACCCCAAGATTGCTTTTGTTGCCCCTTGGTTGTTCCTGTGGGAGAGCTTTTGGCTGCCCTGGTTTGCTGTAGCTGTTCCTGTTTCGTTCTGGTGGTAGCTTGGTGTTTATTCCTGTTCGTGTGCCCGCAGAGCTCCCCTATAACGACTATTTTGAGTACTTCGGGCCAGACTTCAAGCTCCACATCAGCCCCTCCAACATGACCAACCAGAACACCAACGAGTACCTCGAGAAGATCAAGTAAGTGGTTGCTCCCCCTGGGGAACTGGCCCTTCCCTGGGACCTCCAGGGCCCTGGGAAGGCCCCTGCTGACCGAGGTGTTCCTTCCCTGGGCGGCTCCAGGCAGCGCCTCTTCGAGAACCTGCGCATGCTCCCCCACGCCCCCGGGGTGCAGATGCAGCCCATTCCCGAGGATGCTGTGCAGGAGGACAGCGGAGATGAAGAGGAAGATGACCCTGAGAAACGCATCTCAAGTACGTGCTCGTGTCTGGCTGGGTGCCAAAGAGGAGGAGGAGGAGGAGGAGGAGGATGTGGGATTTAGATCTGCCCGGTTCTGGAGTCTCAGTTTGACTCCACTCCCACCTCCCCGGGTGGTTTTCTAGGATGAAGCACTGGTGCTGAGCACTGCAGGTGCTGGTGGATTTCCTTTGCCAGATGATTTCTGTAGTGGAGAAGCTCCAGACTTTAATGTGAGAGCTCAGGCAGTTCCTGTGACGTAGGTGCTGGGACAGAACCCTGTCAGGTGTGATGCCAGAAGTGTCTCGCACGGTGAAAATGGTGGTTTGTGGCCAGATTGGCCTTCGGGATCTGGCAGACAGATTTCTCAGTGGGAGGCTGGTTAACCTGCTTATGCTGTCAAGTCTAGACATCACACTGTACCTAATCCAAGTTGTCCATGTGATCTTGGATCCCGGGCATGAGCAGTGAGGAGGGGTGAGTTAAAAAGTGCAGCAGGTACAGAGATAAAGTGTTTTTATCGTGGCCTAATCCTGACTTAGGTAGGCTCCAGTGAGTAGATGTGCCCAGAGAATTAGTGCCTGGAGCCTCCTGACTTGTCAGTCTGCTCACCCAACCTGTGTCCTCTTCACACTCAGTCCGCAATTCCAACAAGAGGATATCCTGCGATGAGGAATTCTCTGACTCCGAGGACGAAGGGGAAGGGGGGCGCAAAAACGTCGCCAACTTCAAGAAAGCCAAGCGTGTGAAGGCAGAGGAGGAGAAGGAGGAGGAGGAGAAAAAAGGTGAGCAGCAGAGCTGGCACCTGGGGAGTGTTTCTGGCTGGTGCTTTCCCCACTGCACTGCTGTGTGTGTGTCTTTTGTTTTTTTTTTCCTAGACGAGAAGGAAGAGGAAAAAGTGAAAGAGGAGAAAGCAGAACCCAAAGGGTGAGAGTCTGGGGGCTGCTGGGAGGGTTGATGTGGCAGCTTGGGTGGCTTTGTGGCGGGTTCTTGACAGGCAGAAGTTTGCAGGTGTCGAGCAGCCCACCTGATGAAGCGCTGTGAGCGCCTTCTCAGGGCTCAGAGATAAAAACGCTGCTTAAAAATAATCAAAATTGAAAAACTGCGCCTTCATTCAGCAGCATGTTATAAATTTTCAGCTGAAGGTGGGCCAGATAAGCAGCACTTTTTAGAGCCTGAGCACAGCCCAAGCTGCCTGTTTAAACCAGATCCTTCCCTTCTTGCTTCCCCAGGGCGAAGGAAGAGCCAAAATCCACCTGAGCTGGACGGGCCTGTCCGTGCGTAGTTTGTCGTAGGTTTTTAGCTCCCGGGTTGCCTCCTATTCCACAGGATTTATATTTTATATATGTTTCTGTATATATTTCTATATAATTGTATAAATGACTTGAGGACTGTAAATTATTCCTTGCTGCACTCCTTGCTGGGAGCAGAGGGGAGGATTCTGCGGAGCAGCCAGACCTGCACTGCCCAGATTTGGTGACTGGGAAGTTTCACTCTTTGCCTTCCACTGCCTCCTTAGTGTGTCTCTAAACAAAACAACAACAACAAAAAAATCACTTCCTTTACTCTCTCCTCTGAAATAACCTTGGAAAAGAATAATTTAAGTAGAAGTAGTATCTGCATTTCAGGTTAGGTGGAAAGATGGCCATGAATTCTTTGTTTGTTTGTTTGTTTGTTTTCTTCTTTTTTTTTTTTTTTTTTTGGTGGTGTTTTATGGGAGAATCCGAGTTCCCAAATGAAGCCTGTGAGAGACTATTCCTTTGGTCTTCAGTTTGATTCCACTGTGGCAAGTTAACTGCAAGCTGGTGCCACTTCTCAGGGTCAAATAGTGCAGTTCTTGAATAGAGTTGGTTCCTCCCCGCAGCAGAAACTTGTGGAAAGAGATGAAGCAGCTTAAAAACAACCTGAAAGGTGATTTTTTTTTTCTTATTTTTATTTTTAGTGAATCAGCCCCAGAGCCCAGATCTGGAAAATCACCCGTGTGTGGTGG